TGACCAAATACTTATTTTCCACCATATTTTGCAAATAAATTCTTTAAAAATCAGACAATGTGATTTTCTGGATTTTTTCTTCTCATTTTTGTCTCTCACAGTTGAGGTATATCTATGATGAAAATTACCGGCCTCTCATCGTTTTGAGTGGGAGAACTTGCACTATTGGTGGCTGACTAAATACTTTTTTGCACACTGTATATATTAGGAAACTAGAGGGTGTTAGCTTTCAAATAATGTATTGGACACTTAATTTGGGCTAGCAGTTAAAAGGTTAAGCAATAAAAGAAGTCATGCCTACATAACAGAAAAAATGACTACAATACAAAATACATTTGCATATTTACTAACCTTGGCATAAATAGCTAAAGATCAGTAAACAAAGTTTTAATCCCCTTTTCGGGGACTCTTAACATCACTGATCATAATCCCCAAAGCAAGCATATCATTTTAGTCTCTGTGACTAATGCATTTACTTTGTCCTTGAAAGATAGATAAAACTCTACAATGATACAAGGCAGAAGTTGGCCTAAGATTGTCAAAACATGGAGAATACACTACTGCAGTATCAAGAAAAAAAAAACCCTTGGCTCATATGAAAAGAATACCAGGTAGGAAACCAGTCCTTGATTCTAAAATCCATTTAGAGGTGATTAAATTTCTAGAGAGCTGGTATTTGTTGCTATTTACTATTTACGTACTTTATCTCATTTAGTTTCCACTGAAGGTTTTACTATTTTTATATTTACTGACCTTGGTGTGTTGTGCAGCAAAGCAGTGATGTCAGGACTGTGGAGAAAAGACAGTCAGGTTACAGTTTAGTAAAGCATCAGAAACATGACACAAGCTAGGTAGCATCTGTATGTCCTTAGATTAGTTTGTAGACTTATACCAACGACTTCCTGTTAATTTAAAATCAGATTTATTCATTTGATGTATTCATTTATTTTAAATGTTTAATCCTGATTATAAAACATATTCTACTCACCCAGATGAAACAGTAAAGATGTTTCCATTGCCATCTTGATAATACGCACTAGAACTGGTTATGTACTGGTTTCCTCTGAAATGAGCTCTCAGCTCTTCTCTGTAAATACCAAGTTTTGGTTTCCGCTGTGCTGACGCTGATCGTTTGACTAAACCTGCCTGCCTTTGCACGAGGTGCATTAGGCTGTATTGAAGTAAAACTCTTGAGAAAAATAAAACAAAGTGTGATTTGAGCACAAAAATACCAATAGGATTAAAAGGTTAAGAGTCATGGCTTTTTTATTGATAGACCAGCTTTCCAGGATTTACCGCACTTCTTCATTAAACTTTAGTAAGATAAAATAGGATCAATGATTTATTTCTTATTATTAACTCTTCAGACTGAAAAAAAAAATTCAGGCAGTAGAACAGCAGCCTTGTAAGAGGAAGTGGTGAGTTTTGTAGCTCTCGTTTTTTCTGCTTTCACCAGAGGATGTGGTTGGAAAAAGTAAAGAAAACAAAGCTCCGTCATCATGAACTGCAGCCACAACACTGCATATATTCATGCACACATTTTGATTTTTCCAATTCTGCTGATGAAGGTTCTCAGTCATCCAGGTCATAGTCATTCCATAAAAACTCACGAGGGACCTACCCGCTCCAGCCGGTGAACAATACCTCCTTAACGACCGACTCTTATCATAGACAGGTTTCAGGTATTACAGGAGACAATCCTCCCCTTAAAGGCAATCTCCCCCCTTTAACGACCGACCCCTAGAATCATAGACAGGTTCAGATATTACAGGCTAACGATGGAACCAAACGACCCATTCATTGGTTACCATTTGCATGTTTTCAAGCGATAAAAGGCTTTGTCAATATAAGACTCAAACTCACTGCGGATCCAGACATTTGAATTGAGAAAGCTTCCTGAAGAGGTGGCGAAACGTCTTCAAATCTTGGAAACCAAGTCCAGTGGATATTTTTTTTTTCTTTACGGAATTTTTCCAATTAGTTTGTCGCTTCTAATTTCTGCTTCTGAGTCATTTGACTGAGTTAATGTTCATTCAGTTTATTTCACATGTTAAAAACAGCTTTCATTCTTTTTTATTGTTTTTTTCAGAAACTACCTATTGTATTTATAAAAAGTTTTTGTTTGATTTTTAACCCTAGACTATATCTGGGTCTTTAATTAGTTTCTTTGCCTCATTGAGTTTTGCAGATTGGTTCAATGACCTGTTTTACTGAGACCCAAGCTGCTCTACAGGAACCATTAACATCCTGAATCACACAGAGAGAGCAGCTTCTGTCTGAACTCAAGCTGCTGCAGGTCGTCTGAGATATGAAAAGCAGATGGCGCTCTAACACGATCTGTCTCTTGGAAGGAAAAGAGGAAGTCAGTAAACCTTCAATTGTAATGGGTGTATACATTGCTCTGTTCGAAATCCTGGGCTGCATCCTCCAAGGACGCGGTCTACCAAAATCTGTGAAAATAAGAAGACCGCAAGTGTTTTGGCTGTGAATTCGAACAGATCTACCCTTCGGCGGGTTTTAATGCCATATGCTCTGTTGCTTAGCAACCATGACAGTTGACACGCAAAGCAGGAAAAGAATGAAAACCAAAGTTTTCAAAACTGTTTGTTTATTTATTTTCTTTCTTATTATAAAGTGAACAAAGACTACACTGACGAGAATCTAGAGTGGAATAAAGGTTCCAACCACCGGGAGCAGGAACAAATAAAATCAAATGTAATGATAGAAACCTTAGTCCGTTAAATAACCTGCTGCTGTCATTCTGCACATCTCTGATGTTGCTGCTATTTTCAAATATCCATCACTGTAAAAATGTCCATAGCTGCATATTGGTTATTTATTCTCTAGTTTTATATTGTTAAAACACTTTACAG